TTATTTGTCAGGATGTTTTTAATAGTATGATCTGAATGTCATTGTTATTCTTTATATTAACATTATTGTATCCATTCTGCAATTACTGATTGTAGACTTTAGGGACATAATAGCATAAATAAAAATTCCCTGCCTTCTTGGAGCTTATATTCTTATATGGAACTTATCACCATAATAAATAGGATGGCACAACACATTGCAGAATATTATAAGTGAAACAATTATGAAAACTTCTACATTATGGACACTTATTTCCTTTTGAAGAAAATCAGAAGCACAGTGTATTGTATACGATGCATGTTATATGATTGTTTCTGAACTCTGGATAGTGCATCAATAAAGATATTAATTGCTGGCTATATTACATATATGTTAGCTAACGCAATAGTTACTTGTGTGGTGCTGGGTTTGGTAATAAAATTGAGAAGTCTTCTTATTTTATTTCAAATATGTACTCACTCTATAGTACTTGATGTATACTTGATGTCCCAGGCATTTTGTTAACTCTATATATGTTATTTTATTTCACTCTCAAAATAGCCATGAGATACAGGCACAATTTATTTTACTTAAAAAACAAAAACAAAAACAAGTTTTCAGAAGATCCCTAAAGGAAATTTAACTGTACAAACCAGCCAATTCAGAAATGAGGCATTTGTCTCAGAAATAATTTCTAGGTTAAGTGATCTTAAGATACTTAATCTATTCTGAAAATAGGTATTTTAAAACCAATTTCTTGTAAAATTGCATTCATTGGTGAATAAAAAGTGTTTTAGATTTCATTTATTTCGACACCACATTATAAGCCTTGCTAACAGGTGTTTCCACACCTAATCTAAGTGCTTATTTTACATTTAACTTTAAATTCTGCCTTACAGTTGCCATTTAGCACATTTAGATGATGAGGTCTATATTCTTAAAGTATTGTGTAATCAAAGCAAAGAAACTTTAATGTTACAATAAATGCCATCACTCTGCCAGTTGGCTTCTGTTTGGCAAGACATCAAGAAATAAAACAAAGTATGAGACTAGTGTATTTTGTAACGAAATGAAGGAAAAAGAACCGAAACCATAAAAACATAGGACTAAAGGAGACAGAAATTCCCACCTTTTGTTAGAAATTGGGAGTATAATGTGTTACAATAGAACACGGAAATTTAACAGAGGCTCATAGTAAACGGAATAGAGTGGAGTTAAGAATAAAATGGAGTTAGGTTTAAAGTTGATTCAGACATTAAAAAAAAAAAAAAAGTAAAATAAATTTAAACCTGGCAGTGGTAGGTTCTTATTTCCGCCCCCTCTTCAGGAACGCTATTTGAACCCCCTCGCGCCTGCAGGACCCTTTGTCAGCTGGGGCCTGAAAAGAGCGGAACGAAAGGCGGACGGTTTTCGGTTGCTGGGGCGGACGTGGATCCGATCTGTCCGTCCTTGCAAGTTTCCCCCAAGGCTGGGACCTAGACGTGCGCCAACTCGTGTTCTCTGGCACCATAGTAGTGGTCGTCGCTGGCCCGAGTTAGAAGCCAACAGTGAATTCTTCGTGCCTCAGGTGAGGAGAAGGTGCCCGAGTCCCGGGAGCTCTCTTGGAGCTCACCCCAAGCCTTTGGGGGAACTTCCAGAGGTCGCTGAATTCGCCCAGGACAAAAGGAAACACGCCCCTGCTCCCGCTTTCCCTCCTAAACACTCACTCATCCTGAGTTCAGAAGTTTGTGAACAGTTTTCCCTCCTCCGAGTATAATTCTTAGGCAAAAGGATGCATTCTTCCTGAACTTTAGAACCTCTTTCAGTTTGTCTCCATTCGGCTGCCAGCCTCCAGGCTGGGTTTTTGGCCTTAGGAATTAAGTTTTCGAACGTTTTTCTCCACTGGGAAAGCTGAGTGCTAAGACGGTAACGGCACCGTTGAGGAAGTAGTTTTCAAAGGTATCACTTCTGTACCCACAATTAAAGAGTAACCTGGCCAATTCCCTGCTTTCAACAGCTGAGACTGAACTTTGCTGGCAAAGCTAGAAGACTTACCTAGGAAACCAGAGTTGGCTCGAGCGGCCGGTTTCCCGTCTCTCCGCTTCCTTCCTGTGACCAGAGGGAAACTTTTAAAGGATCTTAAATCCTGTAGAGTGTTTGGTTCATAGCCAACTGCATGAGCGCTCTGGGTTATCTAGTAGGACACTGGGCTGCGGAAAGGAAAGGAACATCCTCCTTTAGAGCTTGTCCCCTTCCATTCTTGGGAGATAGTCAAGGAAACCACCAAAGAGGAAGATTATTTGAGGTCCTTTCTCCATGTTAACCCACGTTAGTAGCCAATTGCTGCATAATAAAATCTTCAGGCTTTGTACTTGAAACATAGTTGAGTAAATACATATAAATTGAATGCAAAAAGAAAAGAATTAACGGTTGGCAAAGGAAGCTTTTTTTTTTCTATTCTACTTGCTTTTCCTGTGCGGTTCTGATTCCTGTACTGGAATATTATAGAGATGTATAGATGTATGTATATCTGTCTATTTAAATATATATCATACATTTATCTAGGTATATATTTAAATATAAAAATATGGATATAGGATTAAGCAATGAGATATTGGCTCTTTACAGAAAAAGTAATCCATGAGATACAACAAATATACAGTCAGTATAATTAAAGTGCCATGCAATTACATGGGTGCATTAAATAGAGCTAGTGGGCTATGTTTGTAAAATAGAAGCCAAGATTAAAGGCTTGGGATACAGTTCTAGCTTTATGGCTTTCTAGGTATGTGACCTTTTGGCAAATTACTTCTCTGTTTTTCTCATCTGTAAAATAGAAATAATTATACTGTCTATCTCTAAGAGTTGTAAGGATAGAATGAGTTTAGTGGTATTTAGTAAGTGCTTAATAAATGTTAGCCTCTATTTTGAAAAATGTTAGAAACACTAGGTTTTGAGGGTAGTAGGGTTTACTTTGTATAAGCTTTCTTTTTTTATTTTTTTAAAGTTTTTTTTTTTTTTAATGTTTATTTTTGAGAGAGAGAACCCTTGCGGTGCACATGCGTGGGGGAGGGGCAGAGAGAGAGGGAAACAGGAACTCTGAAGCAGACCCCACACTGTCAGCACAAAGCCCTACCTGGGACACAACCCACCATCCACTTGAGCCATAGTTGGATGCTAAACCGAGTCACCCAGGTGCCCCTGTATAACTTTTCTGAAACAAATGAGGCATAATTAATAATTTGACTAATTTGAAACTGGTGAACATTGAAAACTTTACTTAAAACATTTAACCCCCCCCCCCAATATTTTTCCTGTGTCACGTTTGCCACAAAATTCTGTAGATTATGCCTTAGGTAAAGTTGGCGTATTTTTAAGGTAACATCTTGTTGATACTATATTTATATAATATAAATGTATTTCTTTTCTAGTCATTACGTGTGGTCAACTTTTCAACATCATTTTTCATTTTCTATTGCAAAAGGAAGGGAAGGCATATTTAAACAAGATATTTATGTTTCTTTTTCTTTTTTGGAGGTGGATATTTATGTGTCGAAGTATTTTGAGAATGTGGTTTTTGGTAGGGTCTGTCAGGCAGGCAAAATTTCCTAAAGCAAGTTTTGTTAAAAACATTAATTGTGTAGAATTATCCATCCATTCACTTTTTTTTTTTTCAGAAAACACTAAGCACTGAGTGTGCATTTGCTTTTGTAGATAAAAAAGGTGTTATCTTATTTTTAAATAACTCCTAATCTATGAGGACTAAAAAACAGTGTTAACTCTGCATTTACTATAATAGTATTAAAAACATTGCTTACAACCTGTATAAAAAGCATAATGTTTTTAAAACGTTTTCTGTTAATATATTTACATACTTTTTCCCTCTGCATTTAAGAGTTACAGATTGCAGAATAAAAAGGAACAAGTGTGAGACAGTTAAGGAACTTAATATTTATTTTCTCGTTTTTTGGGGGCAAGGACAGACAGTTAGAACAAAGGTGAATACGAAATGCCAAAGTAGGCTCAGTTGAGTGTTTATAAGGTTAAAATTTATTTATTTATTTTTATAGATATCCGAAGCTTTTTTTTTTTTTTAAGTGTTTATTTGTTTATTTTTGAGAAACACAGAGCAAGCAAGCAGGGTAGGGGCAGAGGGAAAGGGAGGGAGAGAATCCCAAGCGGGCTCTGCGCTGTCTGTGCAGAGCCTGAAACAGGGCTCGATCTCACAACTGTGAGATCATGACCTGAGCTGAAATCAAGAGTCAGGTGCTTAACTGACCGAGCCACCCAGGTGCCCCTGTAAAGTTATAATTTAAATTGAAACATGTTTTGCTGATACAGGCCATCATGAGACAATCTTGTCAGAGCATATTCATAACAAGTCTGCAAGAGTTTCACAGTTTTACGTTTCTTTCTTTTTAGATAAACATATGTAGCTTTTTCCAGGGACAGTTCCTCAAAGTTAAATTAAAGATGAAGATTTAGCATTATGAGAAAAAACAAATAGAAGAGCTTGAAATGAAAGACTACCTGACCCTAAAATAGGATAATATTTATAATCCCTTCAATCATCCAGATAGTTTTTTCAAATAAACATTTCTAATGCACTGAATCCGTTCTTTAGACTTAATTAAAATTAGAAAAGTATAGTTCTGTGGTGCCTAGGTGGCTCAGTCAGTTAAAGTGCCCAACTTAGGCTCAGGTCATGATCTTATGGTTCATGAGTTTGAGCCCCATGTCAGGCTCTGTGCTGACAGCTCAGAGCCTGGAGCCTGCTTTGGATTCTGTGTCTCCCCCTCTCTCTACCCCTGCATCACTTGTGCTCTGTCTCTCTCTCTCTCTCAAAAATAAATAAACATTAAAAAAAAGTATATTTCAGAAAAATGATGACTTAATAAGCAGTTTTTACATTCCTAATAATTAACATGTTAATGGTCTTAATAGTTTACCAGGCCATTTTAAAAAGTTATACAAAATTACATATTTTAAAAATCCAACAATCATGATATTTTTAATTTTTTCTAGATTGGTTGACCTACAAGATGCTTCGATACCCATATTTTTGTAAAATCTATAAAGAATTTCATTCATGCTGGTTGGAATCTGGCATATTTAATTTAGGTATCTGGCCAAAAAAAATACATGCTACAGCAGAAAGATGTAATGAATATGAAGCCGAGGAGCAAACAGATCAAACTGGAGCTCAGGAGTTACATAGATCTCAAAATGGAGATTTTGAAGCTATGACTAAATTACATATCCCAGTAATGGTGGATGAAGTTGTTCGTTGTTTGGCACCACAAAAAGGCCAGGTAAGTTGATTAGTTTTTTTAATTTTTAACACTTTGAAAATTGAGATATTCACTTATCTTAATATTCACTATTTTAAAGCATATTATTCAGTGGATTTTAGTATATACACAAGGTTGTACAATCATCACTATCTAATTCAGGAACATTTTCATCACTTCAATAGGGAATCCCATATCCATTAGCATTCACTCCGCATTGACCCCCTTCCTTTTGCTCCTGACAACTACTAATCTATTATTGTCTGTATGGAGTTGCCTAATCTGGAAATCTTATATAAATGGATTCATATTATATGTGGCCCTTTGCATTTGCTTTGTATTATTTAGCATGTTTTCAAGATTCATCCATGTTATAGCATGTGCCTGTACTTCATTTCTTTTTTCCCTGAACAACATTGCATTTATGGATATACCACATCCTTTTTATCCATTCACTAATTGATGGCATTTGTGTGTCCACTTTTTGGCTACTGTGAATAATGCTGTTATGAACATTCATGTACAAGTTTTTGTAGGGACATATGTTTTCACTCAGGTATATACCTAGGAGTGGAATTGATGGGTCATATGATATTCTATGCTTAACTCATTGAGGATCTGCCATACTGTTTTACGGAGTTGATTAGTTTTGTCAAGTAACTGTTTTAAAAGAAAAAGAACATTACATTGGCTGAGTGGTTTGGGTATGAAAACAATTCTAGCATAGCTTGAGAATTTTAGTATCTTTTTAAGAATAACTATAGACAAAGATAAGGATATGAATTCCTGTTTTCTTGTTTTGTTAGACTTTTCAACTACCCTGGCTTTTTGATTTAGAGTTCTCCAGAGAAATAGGACCAACAGGATGTGTGTGTTTGTGTGGATGCATGTATATGTGTATGTACATGTGCATGTATGTGAGTACATATGTGTGTGCACACACATGCGTGAGGTGGAAAAGAGATTGAATGATTGATTTTGAGGAATTGAATCTGAGGAATTTATCTGAGGAATAGCAATCCTCAGTTAAAGAGGATTGGTAAGTCCAAAATGTGTACAGTAGGCTGACAGGCTGGAGACCCAAGTAAGAAATCTGAGTCCAAATTGAGTCTGCAATTTGCTAGCAGAATTCTTCTTGTTTTCACGATGTCAGTCTTTGTTCTATTAAGGCTTTTCACTAATTGGATGGGACCACCCACATTATGGAGAGTAATCTGCTTTACTTAGTCCAGTAATTTAAAATTTAATCTCACTCCCCCCAAAAAAACCTTGACAGAAACATCCTGAATAATAATGTTTGGCCAAATGTCTGGGTATTATGGCCCAGCAAAGTTGACATAAAATTAACCATCATACTTGACTTATTTATAGTGTTGCTGGCAGGATTATATAAGGTTTTAGATACAAAAATGCTTTAAACTCTATAAAGAGATCACAAAAATGTTAGGTAATATAATATCCAATATGATAAAGCTAGAATTTCTGGAAATTAAGCTCATTCACAAGAGAGAAAAAAAAAAAACCCTTTTGTCATAGTAAATTTTCATCAGATGTGTTCTTATAACCTAATGCTGATACTTAGCTTACTGACTTCAGAAATATGATCTCTTATTTTAGAAGTTACTATTCCCTAAATCAGTTATGTACGTTTAGAAGTCACACCTTGGTTCTTTTCCAGGATATAGTGGCTTAATGGTTAAGAGCAAAGATTCTATAATTGGACTTCCTAGGTTTGAATCTGTCATCTAACACACAAGTGTGTACATACATTCACACACACAGCTCTTTTTATTTTTTATTTATTTATTTATTTTTGAGACATGCTCAAGTTACATCAGATAGTTTTCATGAACTAAGTTCTAAGCTATACACATAAGGTATGCTGGAATGGGTGGATGTTGCTCATGTGAAAGCCATCATTAATATGACTTAGGTTGCTTTACCACAAAAATATTCATTTATCTTATCCTTAGGCAGTATATATATAACAAGGTAAATCCAGTATTCTTAGATGAGATTATGTGTACAAAGCATCTAGGTTAATGCTGTCATATAGTAGGGACTCTAAAGTATACATGAAAATATAAATTAAAAAATTGGATCAAACTTCCTGTTAAATATGACTTAAAATGAAATTCTCTTCATTTTCTGTAAAGATTCATAATGCAAGGATAGCAATTAATACCCATACCTTAATGTGAGTCTAAGAAAAAGTACATGTAAATATATATGATATATTTGAGATCTATAGGAAAGGGAAGGGGCAGTTAGTAAAAAAGTGGAACTGAATTTAGTGGCTTGAATTTGACCTCTGGAACCAGAAACTAAAGCTCGTTGTATAAATTTGCTGAAACTTAGTAACAAAAACTAAATATTTATTTTGTAATAACTAAAGTAGAAAAATAGCCAAACAAAAATAAACCCCACAAAGTCTCCTACTAAATCAGTATTGGATCTGCCTTTGTTCTAAAACCAAGTGGAATAAAATGAGACAATTTTACAACTTGACCTATCTTGCTGTTTCATTTGTTCAGGTTCCTGACAAATGTAATGTTGGTTTATTTTGACATTTCCATTGTTCTGATTTGAGTTGGGTTTTCTGGTAACTTTTTATAGAAAGTTTAATTTTATGAATGTTATATTTGAAAATTTTCATGTGAGGTACATTTAGAGACAACGTTATTTCTTACCTTTTCTGCTGTCTGGCAGACAGCTTTATTCACTATTCCCTTAATCTTCAAGTAATAAAGAACTGGTGACAGTTCTTGGACAGGAAAGGTCTTCATTTCTTCCAGAATCCATTATTTGCTTCTTTCTTCCTGAGCCTTTTCCCCCAAATCATTTTCTTTTGCAAACTATGAGTCATACACTCACTTGTATCAATCACCCACATAATTATTGTTTTTCACATCACCTTCAATGGTGAATTAACAAATGAAAGTTTTGATCATAACAGGAACCTTAAAAATATCTAAATATAGTTTTCAATGAGGCCTTGTTCATTTAATAGTAATTTTTTTTTCTTTAACATTTAAAAGTTGCTTACTTCAGGCTAATTTAGGGGAATTTCTTCTATATCATAACCAATTTACTGTTATTAATTTATATTACTATTGCAAATACATGCAAAATATTTATAAATTTGGATTAAAAGAAAAAAAAAGTTCTTCTTTTCCTTTGGGAGGTATAGAAGGGATTGAATAAATTATAATTCTTTCTCCTTGGCAAGTTTCCATTATTTCATATTCTGGGTGAATAACTTTTTGTAAGAATATATTATTGTAAAAATTTTTTCTTGCTTCTGGAGATGGTTTAGTGTTGGCTACTGTGGTCAGTTTTTCATTCCTAATTTCTGAAAAGTGGAGAAAAAGCATGACCCTGCCTAGTTGAAGATGGTAGCAATTTGGAGGATATAGGAGACTTGATATTTATTTTTTTCCTAGTAGTAGTGCCAGTTTAGTTTGGTGCCTTGAGGTTTCTGTGAGAGTGATAGGTTATGAGGCAGGTGATGGACATGCAAGGACTAGTACCAGTAGCTGTGTAATTTTGGGCAAGTAGCTTATCATGACTGTGCCTCAGATTCTTTATCTGTAAAATGGGGAAATATGACGTACCACCTGGTCATTGTAAGGATTAGGTGAGTTCACATATGTAAATTGCTTATAATGATATCTTCCAAGTAGTATGAACTCAATAAACATTAGCTGTTATTATTAGGGGGGATAGTAAGGGTCAGAGCTGGTAGCTAGCTAGATACAATAAAATTTAGGAAAAAAATACCAAGAGATAACAAAGGTGGAAACAAAAGTTCAGGAAAGGTGAAACCAATATGTCTGGAATTGAAAAAGTAGTTTCCTTTGCACTATTGAAGTCTCCTTATCGTCATATTTCTGGTCTTGAGTCAAATTTCACTTTATCAGGCAAATTTTTTCTAAGGCTCCAGAGGTGGCAGGTCTCCTTGTTATACATTCATTGAGTCATATGTTTTTCTTTCATAGCGTTAATAATAATTGATAATTATAATTTTTTAATGACATTATTTGTTCAGTGGACATTTCTCCTAACAGACTGTCCTCTATGAAGTCATAGGTGTGTTTTTTTGTTTTTTTGTTTTTCCATTATATCTCCAGTGCCTGGCACAGGCCTACAACATGGTGGGTTTTATAATGATTTTTTAAGTGAATGAGTAAAAGTCAAATTGAAGGACAGATGAGAGGCACAAATAAAAAGAATGTCCCTTGGGTACTAAGGTTGCTTCTTGGACTCAAGACTTTATATGATTCCAACTTCAGTGTGACAGGCCTAGTCCCTGGTGAGGGAGTAGATACAAGGACTGAGAAAATGAGCTGATATCCAAACTGATGCAAAATCAATTATGATAAATATCAGAGTAAGGTTGTAAGGTTGGTTTCATATGTACTCGAAATAATTATCTTGCTATTTTGATATTCTAACATTTAATATTAATTTCATAATTACTAGATTTACTGAAGTTGTCCCGGTACCAGTTATAATTTTCTTTATAAAAAGATTCATTATTCCCTGTATAATGGATTTTTCTTAAGATCAGGAGCAATATTTTACTTGAAAATCTTTATAATCTTTAATGTAGAGTAAACATCAAAGAGAAAATCCTGAGACTATATGTTTGCTGTCTTAAACAATTGAAGGCTGATTGGTCACAGAGAGGAGGAGTTTATTTTATTTGACCTCAAATTATTTAAAAAGGAACTTTTCTGGGGCGCCTGGGTGGCGCAGTCGGTTGAGCGTCCGAC